TCAGGGGCTAAAGACTATCGGAAGGTCGGTGAGGATGATGATAAGGCCCTTCTTCATAATTGGTGGGACGCATTTATAAAGGGTCAGTCGTCAGTATAGAGCTATTTCTTGACCAGGTTCCGTCATTTTTGAAGCAGGCCTATTGTACATACTATTGTACATTGTATTCTTGATATCGACCTGTAACACATATTGTTATACACTATTTCTTGACTTAATCGTCAGGCCAGGTCTACTGTCGAATTGAAAGTGCCGTGCTGAAATTTCAGCTTGAAAATGGCTCGACAACTCACAAGGACTCGAGACAATGTTTAGCCTCGACCAACTACCTTGAGTGAGATTTTGAGCCTCAGAAGAGATGAGAAATATTTCAGTAATGATGGTGTCGCTAAGTTAATTTGCACAATACCATGTGAGCTCTGGGCGCAGGTGGGAGAATCAAACTAATCCCTGTCGTCGACTATGTCAGAAGGGCACTCAATAAATCGGAAGCGCAGCGCTTCAGCGGTGGAGACAGATTCTCCTGAGGGACCAACAATGAAAAGGCCGAGACTAGACACCATACCCGGAATCAAGCTGGCTAAACTGCAACAACTTGTCAGCCAATTCTCCCAGCAATCGAACGACTGGGAAAAATTCGCTCCTGATGGATTCATAAAAGAAATGACCCTCCGTTACAACCAAATCATGGGTCTGACTGCCGAAACGGTTGAAGAGTTTATTAAAGGTGGTGGACTCGAGCAGTGTAATAACGCCCTGAGATATTATGGTGACAAATTGAGGAATCCGTTTGTCCCCACAAGTCTGGAAGATAAAGAGCGCGGTCAAGAGGCTTATGAACAAATGGACAAATATGTGAATGATTTTGTGGTCCGTTTGAGAGGTCAGTCTTAGTATACCCATCGTATTGTGTCGTACACTGACTCTCAACCTCAAGTCCTTGCTAACCGACGAAAGAGCCCTGTGGCAATCATTTCCGGTCAGTCAACCTGATTCTTCTAGCGACGAATGTAACGCCTTTTCCATTGGCAGACGTCACCGCCCGACGACATTTAACGGTCAACGCTTTGTATGATAGGCTAAATAGATACCATTTCGTCATGGTAGGAAGCTTGTACCATTTATTTCGAACAGATCCTGACTCTCCTTAGGTTCGGGGGACACCAGCCAGCGGCAAATCCACTCTCGCGCAGTTATTGGCGCTTCACATAAAAAATATAGAAGGAGTGAATCCAATCGTAATCAGCGAATGGAGAGAAAACATCGACCAACCCAATATCGAGCCCCCTGAT